TTTGAACCCACCACCTCTGGCATATGGGACCTAAGCCCTACCCTTCTGAGCCACAGGTGCCTCCCGAACCTTTGTTTTCTTTATAGCACCTGGTATACAAGTGCTTTAAGCCACCACCTGAGATTCATCTCAACTAACATTTCAATTATTCCCTTATAATGTCAAGGAGCACTTTATAAATCACTTCCCCATCAATTCTCACAATAACTTAGAGAGGTGGGGTCTATCATGACCATTTCAAATGGGAAATGAAGCTATTGAGGCCCAGGGAGCTCAAGTAAATTGCTCTAACAGACAGGAGCTCAGACTGGGTTCTGGAAAATGACCAAGGCTGGAGGACTGGTGATATGTGGGGACAGCCAGCCAGTGACTTTTAGATTAATAAAAACTGCCAATGGGAGGCCAAGGTGGGTGGATAGCTTGAGTTCGAAACCAGCCTCAGCAAGAGGGAGATCCTGTCTCTACTAAAAAAATAGAAAAACTCATCAGGCTTTAGGCGGATACCTGTAGTTCCAGCTATTCAGGAGGCTGAGACAAGAGGATCTTTTGAGCCCAGGAGTTTGAGGTTGCTGTGAGCTCTGTGACACCAGAGCACTCTAGCCTGGGCAACAGAGTTAGACTGTCTGAAAAAAAGTTAATAAATAAAAATTTTTAAAAAGTAAAAACTGCTAAGAAGCAAACCCTGGAGCAAAATTGGCCATTTCAAAGTAGCAAAATCCAGAGAACTTCATATGTCACTCAAGTCTGTGTCAGAGAGAATACTTCAATATTTTACTCAGCTTTAAACGGTTCAGTCATGTGGCAAGGTGTGTCAGTGCCCAGTAGGGTGCTGAGGACATCAAGGCGGATCAGAGCAGGTGCTGGTCTTTAAGAAACCCCTAGTTTAGACGAGGGGCACATGGATAAGGAGCTGTGCCTTATGGCTGTGGCAGGGCGTAGGGGCTGTTCTCTGTGGGAAAAGAGAAGGGAGGGTGGTGGCCAGGAGTGAAGGGGGAACGAATCTTGCACACAGACACACACATACACACAGAGCCCTGCTTAAAGCCTACCAGGGGCTTCTCATCACACATGGTACAACTTGCACGGGCCTCCCCCAAGCTGTGAGTGACCTGGCTCTGGCCTGTTCTCACATCATGTCTTTTTTTTTTTTTTTTTT